TACAGCCAGTGTGGAAACGCTAGTAGATCATTTGAAAAACAAATTATAGATGTGACCCAGCAATACAACTCTTTGGTATTATTCCCCCTAAAGTGAAAATTTATGTTCACACAAAAATTGTAATAGTTATGTGAGCTTTATTCACAAGAGCCAAACACTAGAAACACTCTCACATCGCCTTTAATTGATGAGTGCTTAAATAAACTGGTCCATTACAACATATACAGTAAGAACAAACTACTAATAGATGCAATAGCTTGGATGATTTTGAGATATTTATATTGCATTAAAGAAATTTAACCCCTAAGCTATTCTGTATTGTTCCATCTTTATATTGTTAAAAAGACAAAATTATAGAAATGGAAAATAGTTAAATGGATATGGGTTGAAGCAGGGATAGGACTAAAAGAAAGTATGTCTGGCTATAAAAGGGTAACTTAACAAATATTTATGGTGATGGAAATATTCTGCTTTTTGATTGCATCAGTGTCAATATCTTGACTATAATATTCCACTGTAGTTTTAAAATTTTTACCTCCAAGGAAACTTGGACAAAAAATACATGGTATCTCTCTTATTTCTTACAACTGCACAGAAGTCTACAGTTACTTCAAATAGATTACTATATTTTTATGTAATAATCATATTTAGGTAACTGCCTTTACTGATGTTTTGCACATGTTTTATGTTGCTATAAAGAAAAACTCAAGTGGAAAAATCTGAAGACAGGAGATGCCTAATGGCTTATTTGGATCAAAATTCCAAATTGGTATTCAATAAACAATGATCCAGGAAAATTAACTCAGGAGATTGTTCTAAATTGAGAAATTACAATCTTCTGCAAAGGGCTAGATAATAAATGTTCCATGTGCTATTTGTCATATGGTTTCTGTTCCAACTGCTCACTCTACTGTTGAAGCATAAAAACATCTCATAGGCAATATGCAAGTGAAAGAGTGTGGCAGGATTCTGATACAGCTTTATTTTTGGAAAACAAAATTTTAGTTTATCAATTTTCACATCAGAACTTTTTTTCCCCAAATTATGTAAAAATCAGTCTTAGTGAATAGATTGCACAAAAGCAGGCCTGGACATGGCCCATCAGCTGTAGCTTGCTGACTTAATGCCTTTTTTGGGAGAATCTAGTACTGTCTTATGATTCAGTTTTGGTTCTCTTTTTCTTTTTTCTCTTCTTGAACATCTCTATTTCCAAAGTTGCTAACTGCTCCATTTGGATTCAGCTCCTCAATATTCTTCTGTCTGTGTTCCCATTTATCATACCATTCAGGGGTAAAATACTTTTACTGTTAAAATGTGGAGCTTGGGCTAGAGTAGAAAATTGATAAAGTTATCTCCCCAAGATCACCTTTTGTTTAAATTTGTTCACAATTTTAGTGAGAAACAATCTTGCCTCTACAAGGGCTTCTGTGATTATAGTGCATTGAGATTCACTAAAAAAAAATTTATGAGACAAATAATTTGAAAGATTCAGATTCTTTTGGACCAGTGGTTAGTAAAGGAAAGGAAGAAAGTTGAAAACTGAGAAACAGTGTGGCATATTCTGGTAAGAAATGCATGCTCCTTGAGACCATAATGTTAAGTGAAATAAATCAGACACAGAAGTTTAAATATCGCATGGTTTCTTTTACATGACAAATCCAAAATATAAATAAATCAAACAGCAAAATAAAAGATAGATAATAGGAAACATGAACAGAAATTTTGCAAAAGGGAAGATAACCAAGTGATAAGAGAAGAGTGGGGGAGGCAGGGAAAGGAGTTAAAAAGGAATTAAGCTGTGTTATGTACATGTACCAACTCTCCAGATTTAATGGATTCATTTACTTTTATATTCTTTATTCTATCAGTATGTCAGCCTTCTCTTATCTATCAGGATCTATGCTGACTCCTCATCTATGGAATTTAATCTTGTGTGGATCAGAAGAAAATATATTTAATCAAGATATTAGAGTAGTGCCAAGGTGGGCTTTACTTCTTCAATATAACAAGTAATTAGCGCTTTATATGTCCAAATTGCTGTGAGACATATGTCTATGTTTTGAAAAAGAGTAGGATATCTTGAAAATGAAAACATCATATCAAAAAGTTCTTTACCATGAGGCCAAGTATTTTTCCTCAGATTATGACAGTTAAATCATATATATGCTTAAAAGTATAAAATAGTATTCATAATTGAGAATAGATATAAAAAGAAAGTCAATGAGGAGAAAGGGTGAAAACAAAATCTAGAAGAATTTTTTTGTGCACCTGGACACTAAAGATTAAGAACAATCTTGTAATATTTTGAGCATTATAAAAATCACATACTTGAAGGGAATGTGTACTACAAAGGCTTTGTCGTACATTGCAGTTTGATAGTATCTAAAAAGTTCTAAAAGAAGGAAGCCTTCAGTGTGATATTCTTTTGAGCCCATAGGAAGTAATGTCCCACAATGAACAGAAAGCAGAAACAAAAAGAGATAAATCTAGGTTATAATATATATTATACATACACATCAATAAAATAACTATTAGTTGTGAGATTTTTAATCAAAAATTTTGAATATACTACAAAGCAGATTATATATCTTGACCATGTTTTCAAATTAATTTTGAAATGGACTTCTAATAGCAAAGCCTATATTATTTACTCCAATTTGGTTTCCTTATTATAGGAAAATGGAAATGATATGAAAAGAGAAGCATATATGTATGTGTACTTATAGTTTAAAAATACAACTATTTTACATTAAATGTTTCTTTTAAATTGAGAACATTATAACATAAAATAGTTGTATTTTGTTTGTTAAGCTATTAGAGGGAAGGAACTAGTTAGCAAAACTGAAAGTATGTAGTATATACATATGCTGAGTAAATATTATGATTTAACTACACCCAATAACTTGAAATCAGACTTGGTTTTGGCAAACATAACTTCATAGTCAGAGTTAACTATTTAATTGCATTTGCTTTATTCACAAGCAATGCATCAATATTCACTGAGTTCAACTACAGGTGTTTTAATTTAATATTAGAAGACGTAATTATGGGTTGTGGAAAATGAATATAACTAGTCTGAGCTTCTGAAATTGTAACATGTGCATATGTATATACAAGAATTTCTTACATATGCTGAGTTAGAATTGTCAGTATGTTTCAGTTCAAATGTTTATTGCTTAGATTATACTATAGAAGATTATACTATAAATTAGATTATACTATAAAGCATCTAAGTTTACATTTATAAAGTTCCTTCATATTTCAGAATTTATGTTGCTCCTCCTACTATTTTCATTTTCATTTGCCCAAATTATTAAATTCTTTACCTATAATAGAAGTAAAATTGCAAAAGTATTTTTCTTTCTATTTTTCTTTCTATTTTTCTTGACATTTGTGCTTGCTATTAACAAGCGAAATAACTTTTCATTAATTCAATGAAATACTTTTTAAAAACTGGAGTTACTATGGAAGGGGGTTTTCACACAACAATGATCTCAACCAAAACCCCACCTCATTTACTGTTGTAAATTTCAGCAAAAGCTGGAAAACTGTGTGAATGAATCCCATAGAAGAGATTGCCCAGTTGAGACCAAGGGAGACTAGATAACCCAAAACCCCATTTGTGCTGTAAGCACAAGTCATGCTCCGTAAGTCTTTATCATATTAACGAATGTTGAGCTGTACACACTTCTATAACAAACTTAATTTTCCAATGTAGATTTTCTCCTTACAAGTAACCCCAATTTTATACCAAACATATCTTCATTAACTAAAATAACTTCCTGAAAAAAATTGACAAATGTGGAATTTGCTTCATAAAAATCTCTACAGCTGTAGTGATTCAAAATAACAACTGCAGTAATGAGACACATTCCAGAATCCTCAGAGATTGAAGCAGAGTATTAAAAAAAGCTTATAATAGGTTTACAAAAATCAAATGCCATTTCTCCCTGATATTCCATGTACTGTTAGTTGCTTTATTTTTTTTAGTAAACATAACTTGAAGATAAATTCTCTAGTCATCATTAGTAATAGACTAGACATTATGAGATCTTGCTACAAATAACCTGGTCATACTATAATTTTGACAAATGTTTCCTAAACTTAAATTTACCAAATACCAGTTACATGGGATTCCCTATCAAAGGATGGAAAACATTGTGATACTTTGACAAAGTCTCTAAACGCTAAAGTGTATAGTGAATCTTTTAAAAGACACATTTTGCCACAGATTTTTAAAAAATGGGATATCTTTTTATACTCTAGTCATACAGTTTAGTCTATTGTCAACAATAATGAATTAGTGTTATCATTTAGATCAAGAATGACCCCCAAAACTCTCTTGTACTCAGTGGCTTTTGAAAAGGCTTTTGAAAGGTGACTGGATCACAGAGACGCTGGCTGTAGTAACCAGTGGATTCATCCACTGACAGTTCAGTTGTTGCCTGTGTTCTTCGGAGGTAGGGACTGGTCCAAAGAGATGGGTCACTGGTGGGCATTACCTAGAAGAGCATCGTTCCCTACTGGGTCCGCCCTCCCTTCTTTCTGCCCATCATGATGTGAGCATTTTCCTCCAGCAGCCCCTTTTGTCATGCAGTTTCTGCCTTGGAGCCAGTTGACAATGGACTGAAAACATGAACCAATACAACCTTTTCCTCTTTAATTTTTGGGTATTGAGTATTGTGTCTCAGCAATGAGACAGTGACTAAGATGCTTAATAAAATGAATTCTTTCTGCAAGATATTTAGTTTCAATTTGTCCTTTCCATCATGGTACATAGACATTTCCATGTCCTTTCCTTCATGGTACATAGACATTTCCAAGCAAAACATTTCCTTAAGATCAAGTTTATAACAATGATGTGACTGATATCAAACACACTCAGAAATTTGAGAGACCATCACCAAAGCCTGCCATACTACAGAACTGCAGTAATTCTCAGTAAGTTCACAAGTACCTATTTACCACAATGAGCATATAGACTAAGTTATAATTTTTGGCTTTTTTTTTTTTTGCTTTTCATCTTACAATTTTTAAGAATTGTGTGGGTAAAACTGACTGGCTACAATTACTTTTCACTCCTGATGTTCTTTTCCACTTGGAACAATTTAGGGCTTTTCTTCTTGCCTTATCAGTGGTCTTCTCTGATTGATAAGTTTTTTAAAAAATTGATCCCCTTTTATTCTTTGAGGAAGATTTTCTCACAAAAAAGAATTGTCAGACAACAAAATGTGGCAGATCCCATTGCAGATACGTATGTTTTCCTAAAGTGAATAGATGGACAAATTTCTGTAATTCCAAGGTTTGCGTTGAAGTAGTCCATTTACCTGTTGGTCTAAACAACATCTTCCAACCTAGTTTTTTTCAGAGAAAAATGAGTTATTTTGACCTTTCTTCTGCCTTCTCCTTTCCTTTCTTTGTCTTATTTCACAGTTGACTTAGAACTCACAGGAAGCTTCAGGGTGTTTCTTATCAGACCTCTTAAAAACCTTTACAATCTATTGAAGAAAAATCAACTTGTGGGAACAGCAGGGATTTTGCTTCCTCTGCAATTTGAAGTAAGATTCAATTTGCGATTATGAATTAGCTCTATTCCATGCTCCCTTCAGGTGATTCTTTTGGCATTATTTAGTCCTCAATGTGTCATTTTGAGGCCACAGAAGGTTTTCTGTGTGTCCTTTGTAACATACTGTGTGCATAACTGATGCTTCTCTTCATACACGAATACTAGTGACACATAACTAACAAGCAGATACTGTGTAGACTGGAAGATCTGTTCTAGGCTTGCTGGTGAATTCCCTTTCTCTTGGCCCATGTTTCTTTATTTTCAGTGCCATGAAGCTATGAGGTAGCTGGACTGGGTTTGAACTGTAGTCTATGATACAGGAAAAGAGCAAAACTCATTGGCCCACACAGGGATCAAACCCAGGCCTTGGCCTCATTATCTTCATGATTCAACCAACTCCACTAATTAACCACAGATGCATAATCATCAGGCCGATTCTACTTCCTGAAAAATTACAGTATAGGTCGACAAATTGTATCAAAATATATTTGAATAAATTCAGGTAAGGTGTGTAATAATTTGGGTAAATTATAGAGGTAAAAAAATTCTGTCTTCTTTATTAAGAAATCTGAATATCATTGTGGTATATGAATCCAGATGAAAAATTAGCCAAGAATTTTAAAAAAACACACAAATGTCATCTTCCTCTCTATGTCCTTCACACCTTTAAACATATGTCAAATGTCTAGTGGCATTTATAAGATCTTCTGTGGATATGAGCAGTTCTCTTTGTTTTCATTACCAATCTTTCTTATTTACGATGCACTTCATTCATTTCTTCCTTTTGATCTTCATAATCTAGGGTTGAGTCATTCACTCACCATCCGCGTTTTATTTATTTTCTCTGTATTCACTCTTCCATCTGTACAAAGACTGACAGGAAAATTATTTTATAACAAAATGTGCAATTTCTTTAAAAAAATTGTAAACCTAACTAAGTACCATAATTTTTGAGTCCAACATGATAACTGGTAAAGTACCCTGATAATTCATATTTCAGTGTCATGTATTTAGTAAAAACAGAAAAACAAAAACAAAAATAAAACATTAAGGGATTGCTCCAAGATATTTATACTCTTAGGAAGACCTCAACTATATCACAAGTGGAAGTAAGAGGCAGGGCTTTGCATTCTCCAAAATTATTTTTCCTATTTTGTTTCTTGCTTAAAGACAGTATTTGTTCATTTTCTGACATTGTCTGAATAAAAACTGAATTATGATACAAACATTTCTGACAAATTTTAAGTGCAATTTGTTACTTTTTTATTTACCTGAATGTCTCTCATGGAGAAAACCATTTATATGTAATTATTATATATTATATTTTATATATATATATATATATAATTTTCAGTTAAAGTTTATGCTCCTGTTTAGAATAAGAACTTCAGGGGCCAGGGATTTAGCTCAGTGGTTTCACCAACTGCTGCATAAGCACAAGGACCTGAGTTCAATCCCAGGTATCAAAACAAAACAAAATAAATAAATAGAATAAGAACTTCAAGTCCCTGGTTTGAATCTATACCAGCTTAATTTGTATTAATCAGCATAGTTAGAATTTTTAAAAACTGACCTATCTCAAGACTTTATTTAAAGTAGCTACTTCATTTTAGTTTTCCTTTAATAGCCATAATCTTGTATGGGCAATTCCTGGTTTTTCTGTTTTGATCTAAGAATTTAAACATTCCCTAAACTTTTCTGCTCAGAAGAATTCATGTTCTGAAGTAGTAAATAAAACTATAAAAATTTATTAAATATTGCTATGTTCTTTACATACCATTTGTTACTGTTAGTGTTTATAAGAGCCTCCAATGCCTTCTTTTGCCCTCCCTCACCCTCTACAATACTGAAGCCACTTCATTTGTTCCATCTTCATGTTCTCATCCAAACTATTTACAACTTTACCATATTATAATCAAGAAGTCTTTTTTCAGGCAATCCCTTCACTGTTGATTATGTTTTACTTATTACCATACTTGTAGGATAAGGATAGAAAATTTGGCCCAAGACAATGAACTCTCTGCATAGTTTAAATGTATTTTGCCCCACATATTTTGTCAGGTATTTTAGAACCAACAGTGTTCAGGCTACAGGTCTAGATTAAATCAAGGTTCTAATATAGTTTTTCTTTAAGTACCATCAATTCAGAAAGCAAAATTTTATCCTATTCATAAAAATAGAAGTCCTTGATTACCAAGAGTAAATTCCTAGGGATTTAGTTCTTATGATCTTTCTAAAGATTTTAGTTCTACCATCTTTTTTCTTTTTTGTTTTTATAAAATGGAGTACTACTCAGCCATAAAGAATCAGAAATTAGACCAGCTGCCAGCATACCAGAGTGGGCAGAGCGGTCCTGGGTTGACTGTAGCCCCACTCCCTCCAGCTCGCCATGACCACTTGTGACCAGGAGATGGTGAGGATCCCCCGGGTATGCACATGAGCTTCCAGGATACCAGTGCAGGCACCTGCAACAACAGGGCCCCTCCCCCTGCCTCTAGTCTCTTGGCTGTGCAGCTACCTGGTATCACACTACAGAGGAACAGGGGCCATTGTCCTGAGCTGCAGAAGTGAACAACAGAAAGGGGTCTCTCTCAGGCTCCCTGATGAAAACTGAAGCCCACTGGAAGAGTGAAGGGAATCTCTGTAACTAAAGGCACACCAGACCACCACACTTGGTAAGTTGGAGGGATCATCACCACCCATTGGAACCTGGACTATTTTCAGGGGAAAGGCAGCTGGAAACTGCAATAGAATCTTGCAGAGTTCAACAATGCAGGACAGGGAGCTCAACTTGGGACTTGCAGCCAGAAATCTGCCTGAATCTCATGGGTCTGTGACTGGCTTACTGAGACTCACTGACTTATAACTGCACACTGCTGCAAACATTGTCTATTGTGACAGCAGAGACATATCCTGAAGGAGGCCCTTCATTTTTATCATTTGTTATTTTCAAAATTACCACTATTTTTTGTTCTTATTTTAATTTTTTTCTTCTTTTTCTACTCTTTTAAAATTTTTATTTTTCTCTTTTATCTTTCTTTTCTCTTTTCTTTCTCTCTCTCTCCCTCACTCTCTTGCTGTCCCACATTGTTTTTCATTTCCCTTTATGTTCCTGTTCAGGCCCTAATTTGTATTTCTTCTTTATTTTTCTTTTCTTCTCTTTCCCTCTCTCACCTATGTCCTCTGGCCTCACTGTTAACCTTCCCCTATCCTTCTACCTGCCTATTCCTCCCTTCCCAACTTCTTCTAACTCCCTATTCCAAAGGGTAAAGTTGCTATATTGAAGAGTTTATTTACTATAAACATATGTTGGGTTGGTCCTTGATTTTGATTTAATTCACACAGTTAAATGTGATAGATTAATAACTACCACAAATTGTCATTTTCTAAGAGGTACTTGATGCTATTGTGTTGCTGATTGTATCACTTGGGCTAAGGTGTTGTGATTGATCTAATCAGTTGTCTTTCCTGGTATAATGAAAATGAGATAACCTCAGAGTCATTAGAGACTCAAAACATAAAGACCAGCTGTATCTGGAAGACACCTCTGAAAAGCAATCATTCTATAAGGGTTCTAAATACATCAATGAAGATACTTACAATAAACAACCTCAAAGTATCAAACCAGGAACTAAACCAAGGACAGTACCAAAAACAAAAATGAGAAAACATTTAAACAAGGCCCAAACTCAGACTTCCACCCCACAAAAGGCAAATTCTGGGGGAAACGAGGTGGAAAAGTCTGCTAATCAACCACCTGGACACCCTGAAATGATAGGACAAGAAGTAACAAAACAGATGAATGAGGCTCTAGAAAAATGCAAAGTAGAAATAATCTCCCAGATAACTCCAGAGATGGTGAACAGAGTGAAAGACATGATTAGAGGCTCTAAAAGAGAAACAGATAAAAAAAAATAGATGATCTCAGAAACATGCTGTATGCTATGAATGTCCAGCATAAGAAAGAAATGGAAAACATGATCACCCAACATAAGAAAGAAATGGAATCCATAAATCAGATTCAAACAGATATTCAGGAGATTAAAAACTCCACTGACAGCATGCACAGCAGATTAAGGGAATCTGAAGATAGAATGTCAGATGTAGAAGACAGGATTGCAGTTAAAGACCATGAAAACAGAGATTTCTTAAAAATAGTAAGAGACCACGAGAAATCAATCCAGCAGCTGCTAGATGATGCAAAGAAGAATAACATGAGACTGATAGGAGTCCACAAAAAAACAGGAGAAAGTACAATTGACATAAAAAATAACTGTTCATAGAAGTAATAGTGGAAAACTTCCCACACAGAGGTGGAGAATTGGACATACAGATAACTGAGGCATATAGAACTCCACCTAGCCATGATCAAAAAAAATCTACACCTAGACATACAATAGTCAAGATCCCAGAAACCCGACAGAAGAACAAAATCCTACAGGCAGTTAGAGAAAAGAAACAAATCACCTACAAAGGTAAGCCCATCAGAAGCACGGCCGACTTCTCAACACAAACCCTCAAATCAAGGAGAGCCTGGAGTGAAGTATTTCAAGCCCTAAAAGAAAATAACTTCCAACCTAGACTGTTGTATCCTGCAAAATTATCTTTTAAAATCAATGGGGAAATTAGACACTTCTACGACAAAGAACACGTGAGAAATTTCATGAACACCAAACCAGC